CCCCTGCTGGGAGAGCAGGGACAGAAGCACTCATTTGCAGAAACCAACAAGTTGCTTGGGACAGCATCATGTACGTATGCTCCCTCTCATACGTACACACACTCTACTCATTGGTGCACTCCGTTGAGACCAGAACGTGGAAAGCTGAGCTGGGCAAGGAGGGGAGGGGGGTCCTGTTCTGTTTTGAGATTCCAGAAATATGATCACCCTCCCTTGGCATAGGTCCAGAGCAGGACTCAAATTCTGGACACAAAATCTGGAGCTGTATTGCTTCTTAAACCAGAAATGGGGCAGTAGGCTGTATTGTGCAAAGTGTTTTAGAAGATACAAGACCCCTTAATGACTCTGCCTCGTTTTGCATAAATTAACTGAGTGAAATGATGCAGCTATGGATGATAGGGCATCAGATCAGATTATATGAGTTTCAGTTTTATTGGGTTTCTTCAAAGATAATTTGTCAAAAATACTCCTAATAAATTAGACTTGCATTTCTTTATATTGACAGTTAGCCATTATTTTCTTGTGCTTTGTCCCATAGAGTGTTCTTCAAAGGCCAGAATAGCTATCTGTGACTAAAATGAAAATGGACTTGACTTTGACTATATGCATACTGAGGCCAAAATGTACAAACATACATGCCTAGAGATATGCTCCCAAATCTATATATAAGCATCCAAGTGAAAGTTGTCTGATTCTCAAAGTTGTTTAGAACCTGTAGCAGCCATTGAGTTCTGTAGGATATGCAGGTGTTCTGCACATCTGAAAATCAGGCTGCTTTTCTTTAGCTAGGTAAATATGGATTTGGGAAGCTTAGCTTTAGGGACCCAGTTTTGCAAATGCTGGCCTAAAGCAATTGCCAGCTATGCATAATTCACCCATCAGTCAACAAGGCAACAGCAGCAGAATCAATTTTTTTTTTGTAAAGAGTATTAAATCAGGTTTTTTTATCACCAGCTTCTCAAAACAATCAACTATTATTTTTGCTTTAAAAATAAAAAGAGATAGCAAGAAATACGTTTCCCTTCTTTTAATTAGATCAAATCCATTTTATGAACCAAAATCGAACCCTGCTTTAAATAAAGTTACTTCACTGCAAGAAACAGAAAAGAAGATGAAAAGGAAGGCTCCTGCACCACCAGTCTCCTCGCCAAAGACAGAGACAGGAATGAGTGAGAGCATGTCAGCTATTCCTACAGCAAAGGAGCTTTCTTCTTCTCCTAAGGTAGGTTTTTCATGCCAAAACGTGATTGTTGTTTAAGGTATCTTTATGTGTATTTTATGCATTTGCTTATTACTACAGGTCATTTTATAAACTTTGTTCCCACCTAAAGAAGGTGTGTTATTGTTTCACTGGCTCGTGTTCAGACAGTGGTAGAGTTTGTATTTTCGTATTTAAAAAAAAAGACTGAACAGCAATGACAGCAACTGCAAGTGCAAAGAAAAGAACCTTCTGCTAACAAACCTTCAGGAAAGTTTTCTACACCACTAAGAGGGAAGCATATCAAGCTGTATGATACTTTTGCTTGACTACTGTAGTGTCACTAACTTTTGCCCCTATGGTAGGTGCTGACCACACCTTTCTGTTATAAATCCTGCTTTTGAGGGGTTTACTTGACCATACTGAAATGTATTATATGTATATTAGTTCAATTTTGGAATTGTCATGAAGTAATTTTAGAAAGATGTAACCAAGTCAAATCAACCGGTTATCAGTAAAGGCCAAAAGCATATCTGCCAGTTGTACATGCATTTATATGCAAGCATACCTGTTAGCTGTACATGCATTTATGCTTCTTAAACCAAAAATGGGGCTGTAGGCTGTGTTGTACAAAGTAGGTGTTTTAGAAAAGACTGATTGACTTATTTAAATATATGTAGCCACTACTGCCATTTTTATTTTTTTAATAAAGTAAGTATTTCATTCTGTGGTTTTGTGTGTTAAGTGGAGCCTCTTTTAGACAGGTTTGCAATAATGCTATTGTGTGCGTGCACACGTGTGTTTGTGTGTATGTGTGGTGTGTTTCCTTAGGGGAGCAAGGGAGAGATGGAAGAAGGTTTTCTGTACCTCCGAAAGAGCCTTAGGTTTTCTAGTTTTAAGCCCACGGCTGTACTTGAGGCCTTGGGTTGTAACCATCATCCTTCCATTTAAGAGTTGAATGGGACTTCTTGTCATACCTATCAAACCACTGCTTAATTAGTAAGGGAGGTTGCTGATAAGTCCTTGTGCCCCCAGGCTCTGGTTTTGCTGTCTTCTCAGCATTCAGTCAGGGGAAGGAGTATGACACCAGAAATCTAATCTGAGGCTGATGCATGGCAGCACAAAGCAGTATCAGAAGGCCACAAACTCAGCTCTCTGGTTATTCTTAGTATATAAAATCACAGGGAGTGAAATGTTAAATGAAACATAAGCAGTTTTTTAATGCAGTGAGATGGTTTTTTAATTTGAAAGGAGTTTCCATGTTAGGAATACTACACGTTACCCAGCAGAACTTGAGACTTAGACCAAAGCAAGCTGCCTGAGACTCCAATAAGCTGCAGGTGATATTGGTAGGCTGAGGTTAGCAATCTCTGTGGAGTGATCTCAGAGATTCGATCAGATAATTTGTTTGAGGGTGTGTCCTGTTGTTCATTACTCAAGAAGATATTTAAGGTAGGTCTGCACAGCCTTGGTAGCATGTCAGGGAAGCACCAAAGTCAGGCGCACTGTGCGTGTTCCTTGTGCCCTACTCCCTGAAAAAGAGGCAACATTGCTGCCACTGGTATGATTCTGGGCATGCCCCAGTTAACTGTGTGCTTATTGGTGCTCTTCCTGGCACAAATCTACTGCTGCACAAAGATATTCCTTCCATTTCAGAAAGGTAGTGCTTATGGAGTAGGCATGGTATCCCTCATTGTAGCACTCTTCCACATGGTACTGAGGTACCATGCTGTTAGAAATCTGGTCAGACCAAGAAACAACTATGATGAAGACAGCTTTTCTCCATCAGTGTTTGGCATTCTTTCCTTTCCACTAAAGGCCTTTCTGCTGACTTTCATGCCTGTGTTATTTCTGGATTAAACTGTAGTTTGTTCTACAGTAGTTCTATATTTGAAGTCTCTCTGGAAGCTGAATTTTGTGTGCAGTATGGCTCTGTACTTGGTGAGCAGAATGTCTTGTTTTGTGTTCTTTTTCTAACTGCTTGGGAGTTGCTTATAGTGAAGCCCTCACCTCCCCCCGACTACAATGCTGTCACAAGTTAAGGTCAGCAAGGGCATGCAAACTGAAACCAGCTTTGTATTTAGGGGCTGCCAGTAGCATGTTCACAATGCATTTCCCCTGAAGAAGTTCTAATCTGTTGACCTTCAGGCATTTTGTAAAGCGCATCTGATTTTACAGTTTTTTTTGGAGAAACAGGGTAGAGTGAAAACAGATATGAAGTATTCGTTTAGTTTATTGGAGCTGGGTTTAAAGGTTTTGCTGATTGAGGGTGCGTTCATGTATAGTATTGCATGTGAATTTACATTATGATAGCATGCCTGAGGTCTTGTTTGTTTTAGAAATATAAATTAATAAATGTTAAATCCTGAGTAATCAGATAGAATATTGATGAAATACCAGCAGTATTATTCTAAAACCTCACAGAGGTTGACATTCACTGATGATATATTATCCTTTTGCAAACCTCAAATTTCACTGACGCTTTTTTCTTACCTCGCACTCTTTCATAGTACTGTCAGTAAAAAAGAAGCTAATACGAACTAAAATATTATGGTTCTGATTTTGAATTACTAAAACAACAAAAGTGTTTATTTTATGTAGTACCTAACTATTCCAAGTGAAGTTGGGGCCCCATCGTGATATATATTGTATCAGTGGTGATGCATAGGGGGTACCCCCTGACAGGCCGCACTCCCTGCTTAGGTAATGGGCAGGGGGGGCAGGTGGGAGCACCAGTACCCCCCCTGCGAGCACCAGCTGGGTAGTGGGAGCACTGGGTGAAGCGCCATGGCCACTTCTGGGAGCGCTGTGGCTGCTTCCCAGTCGGTGCAATTGACCATGGGGGGACCTCCCCCCACCACCGGTCAGCAAGATTGTCCCCCCCCCGACCACACCAGTTGCTGACTGGTCACTACAGGAGCACATTCTCCCCCGACTTAGGTGGCACAAATTGCCCACGTAGTGTATACTTGATAAGAGCATGGTTCCTGTGACAGGTCTACATCATACTCACTGAGTAAAATATTGTGGTTTTACTCAGCCTTTTGGGAGAGGGCTTTCGTTTTCACATTCTTAGGTCCAGAGTGGTAAGCTTTTTGAAAGTGAAACTGAGAGAAAGAGACTACCCACTGAAGCTGCCTCTGGTTGGGTGCATTAGTTTTATGGAAACACTCCACATTCTTCTGCCTGGTAAGGACCTGTACACTATGACGTGTCCCTTCAAGAGAGTACTGCCACTTTCCAAAAGCTGCTCTGATGGCCAGGAGTTCATGGTCCAGAATGTCATATGTCTGTTCTGCTGGGGTGAGCTTGCAGGAAAAAGAAAACACCTGTTCCGAACCCTACCATTGTGAGGGTACCATACCTATCGTGGTGCTAGTGGTATCTGTTACCACCACAAATGGATGTGGCAGAAGCAAAGGCCTGTTTCAGGTATTCAGAGGTTTGCTGGCCTTCCATAGACCAGTAAACCTGGACATTCTTGTGTATCAGTGTGGTAAGAGGGGTCATCACCTGGTCAATGTTGGCAGTGAACCACAAGTAGAAATTTGCAAACCCCAAAAATCTCTGCAGTTCCTTTGCATTCTGAGGCACCTTCTGCTCTTGGGTGGCTTGTACCTTCTGGGGGGTCCATTTTCAGGCCTTCTGGAGATAAAATAAAGCCAAAAAATTTGATGGTGGTTTGGTCAAAGGCACATTTCTCCAGTGTTGTGAAAAGATCATGTTGACCTAACTTTTGTAGTACTGTCCAGACATTTAACAGATGGTGATCAGGGTCCTCTGAGAAAATTAGAATATTATCCAGGTAAGCAATCACAAATTGATTGAAAAGGTCCCACATGGTTGATGAAGGTTGGGGGATAAGTGGGCCCCAAAAGCATAACTAAATACTAAAAGTGCCTGTATTGAGTCCAGCAAGTGGCTTTTCATTTGCTACCATCTCTGATTCACACCAAGTTATATGCTTTCCAGAGCTTGAGCTTGGTGAATATTTGGACAGTTTTTACCTGACTGACCACCTCTGGGATGAGAGGCATGGGGTACTAGTTGTAGATGACCTGATTCAGGACCGGGTAGTTGACACAGAGGCAGATGCTTCCTTCCTTCTTGATAAATAGGACAGGGACTTGAGCATATGAAGTAGACTTTCTTATGATTCCCCAGGCCAGGTTTTTCTGCAAATACTGCTGTCAGAGGACAGCAAGTTTGGGATCTTTGTCCCCTCGCTGTAGGTCAAAAGGGCAGTTGTAATCCTGGTGTGTGGGGAGGACCTCCGCATTCTTCTTCCCAAATACTTCAATGTAACCCTGATATTTTCAAGGCAGGCTGGATCTGGCCTCCAAAGGCTGCATCCCCTAGGGAGCAACAGTGGTTGAGACCCCTGTTGAGTTTGTTGAGTGGGCAGCTGTCCTGGGTTTCCAGAAGTGCTGCTGACAGTCGCTGGAATCAAAGTAAATCTCCTGGGCTTTCTACCTGACCAATAGGTCATGGCAGATATGCCAGAGAAACAACAGAGTCAAAGGATAATTTGGGGAATGGATCACCCTGAAGCATAACATGCCACTGTGATTGAGGATGGTCCAGAGCAGTGGTCTCCTACTCCCTGAGGCCAGATGCCAGAAGTGAGTCATCTGTAGTCTTGATGGTTTCTAGTTTGGACCACTGTCTTCATGGGATTTGTAGGGAAACATAGGCAGTGGCAGTATCCTTCTCTGGCAAAGATTCCTTCTCACACCAGCAGTGGTTCTTCCCCTGGTGATGTGCCACCTAGGACTAGAGAGATTGGTTCTTGGCCAGCAACTCCTGGACTCAGGCTTCTAATACTTGATGGTTGAAGCAAGCTGATTCAGCCAGTCTTACTTGGCCTGCAAGTCTCACTGAGTTTCAGCGTCCAAAATGGGTGGGTCCGAGGGCACCAGCAAGGTTTTGGGCTCCATGCCATACCCTCTTCACCAAGTTGGGGGAGCAGGGGGCACAGTGGAGTCAGAGCACAAACCAAAGGAAACAGCAAAGCAGCCTGGGAT